GTGGGAAGGGCAAGGCAGCCTTTTGCAACATCTTTTAAAAGGGCAGGAACTCTTTTCTTTTTTGGTTTTTGGAAACGTCTCGCCACGTAGTCCAGGGCAGCCTCAAACTTACAATGTAGTTCAGGTTGAAGCTTGAACTCATAGTGATCCTCCTGCCTCAGCCTCTTGAGTGCTGGGATTACAGGCATGGACCATCATGCCCGGAGGCAGGTGCGGTGCTGCCACTGAGCTAAATCCTCAGCCTGAGGAACCCTTTTCTTGAAGGCTCCCCAAGGGTCTTACCTCCTCACACCACTGCACTAGTGATTAGATTTCAATTTAGGAAGCCAGGCATGGTGGTGCACACCTGTAATCCCAGCACTTGGGAGGCTGAGGCAGGAGGATCACCACAAGTTTGAAGCCAGCCTGAACTTCATAGTGAGACCCTGTTCCAAAAAATGAAAGAGAAATAAATTTTTTAAAAAAGATTTCAATCTAGAAATTTGCGGGGGAGGGGGGGACCACCACAAACATTCAGACCACAGCAATCTCCACAACTGAATTTCAGATCTTCATAGAAAATGTTTCTCATACTGTTCCCCATCTCAGTATATGGCAGCTCCATGAGTTCATTTACTCTGCATTATCTTTAACTCCTCAGCTCACATCCAATCACATATGGTAATAGCTCTAACATCAAACTACAACCAAATCTGACTACTTCTTAATTTTACTGCGGCAACCCTGATCACATCATTATGTCTCTCCTGGATTATTATTATTATTATTTTTTTAAAGATAGGATCTCGCTATGTAGTTCAGGCTGGCCTTGCACTGTGTAGCCAAGGATGGTCTCAACCTCCCAATGATCCTCCTGCCTCAGCCTCTGGGACTACAGGTCCCAAAACAATTGTTTTCCATTTGTCTTTGGTTATCTCAAGAGCAGCCAGACTGGGAGAGTGAAAGAAATAACGAGTGACCAACCAGAGTATTTATAAAATTATGAAACAAAAAAATTACAAAACATAAGTCATATCAGATCAGCTCTTCTGCCCCATGGACTTCTAGCCTCACTTAGAAAGTCAGTCATTTCAGTGGCCCACAAGATGCTGAGAACCCTTGCCATTTTCTGCCCTCCTCATTCATCATTGGAGGCTCCAGGCATAGTGGCTCTCTGCTCTTCCTTGAACAGGCCAGACCTGCTTCCTGACCCAAGACTTTTTTTTGTCTTTTTGTGTGGGAATCATCTTCCCCCAGAGGATGGCTTATTCCTTGGTTAGCATCAATCATTTATGACCATCTCATATGCTGTATATTTTACTCTTCATTGTCCCTCTCCCCACAATATAAACTCCAAAAAGATTGGGATTTTTGTCACTTTTTGTTCTGAATTTGTCATGTGACTATGCTCTTAGAGTTCTCTGCTGTGCACAAATCTTTCAAATTACATACTCAAAGGAGTCGAAACTTTTGTTTTCAGGGATCAACTTTTACCGCAAGAATTTTTCTTTTCATGGCACTAGGGAGTGAACCCAGGGTCTTCTTATTGAACTACAGCCTCAGTCCTTTTAAACTTTTTGACACAGGGTCTCACTAAATTGCTAAATTGTCCAGTCTGGGCTCAAACTTTCCATCATGCTTCAGCCTCCCAGAGTGCTGGGATTACAGGCATGCCTCACCACATCAGGTTAGGAGTGTTCTTTTTTTTTTTCAGACAGGGTCTTGTTCTGTAGTTCAGGCTATCCTTACTATGTAGTCCAGACTGGTCTGGAACTCGCAGTAATCCTGTCTCAGCCTCCTGAGTGCTGGGATTACAGACGTGCACCACCACGCCTGGATAGGAGTAGTTTTAATTTTTATTTTGTTAAGCTTTATCGTGGACAGCACCCGGAAGGAAGCTCCCCCACCGCCATCCCAGGCTCCTAGGGCAGAGAAGGTGAGCTGGTCCCAGCACCTGGAAGGAAGCTCCCCCGCCTCCATCCCAGGCTCCCAGGGCAGAGAAGCTCAGCTGGTCCCAGGACCCCGAAGGAAGCTCCCCACCTCCATCCCAGGCTCCCAGGGCAGAGAA